GCCCTGCAATCTGAAAACCAGCTGTGGCCTCTCCCACCATGCAGGCCAGCAGCAAAGTCCTTGGTGGGCTGAGCAGGAAGCTCTCTGACATTTGTTATTTTCATTACCCTGCAGACGAGCATTAATGAGGTCCCATCACCCTTAATAACAAAAATTGCTGGCAGCATGGGAGCTGCCAGGGGGTTGGCCCTGTTTGCTTTGGGGTGGCTGCAACAAGCCAGCACACCTGTGGATCCCTCTACATTGTACTTTTTCCAAAGCTGAGACATCTTGGGGGGGGATGCTGGATTTATTTTTGTAGGGTCTCCTTTCTCCTCTTCCTCCTCAGCATCACTCTGCCTGCCCTGGTTTTTATTCCCTGCAATGTTTCCAGGTGACTTTCTCACTGACGTCGGGGAACATCGGCCGGGCTTTTGAGATCCGTACCACCAACAACACCTACGGCGAGGTGTTTGTGGCACGGCCGCTGGACCGGGAGCTGCTGGACCACTACACCTTACGGGTCAGCACCAAACCACCCCCACTAGCCCCCTGGGCTTCTGGTTTGAGCACAGAGGCTGTTTGCTTCAAGACAGAGCTTTTTTCCCCCTTGAAAATCCACACACCCCCCCCCCACCGCAGATCCAAGCATCGGATGGCGGCGTTCCTCCCCGGAGGAAGGAGCACATTCTACGAGTGAACATCCTTGATGTCAATGACAACCCCCCTGTCATCGATAGCCCCTTCGGCTACAACGTGAGCGTCAGCGAGGTGAGCACCCAGCTCCTCTCCTTCCATCCTCCCAGGGACAGGTCTGACCCCAAGGCAAGTGGGGACAGCGGATTGTCCCTTGCAAGCATCACCTTGGGTCGTTTGAGTGTTAGCTGACCCCGTGCAAACCTCATCTCTGGTCATTTGATGGTCGGCGTCCCCTTGCAAACCTCACCCTTGGGTCATTTAAGGATCAGTGGCCCCTTGCCATCCTCACCTTGGGTGATGCAAGGGTTGGTGACCCCTTGAAAGCCCTGACTGGTGATGTACTCCTAGTTTTGGGCTGGGAAAAAGCAACTCAAGCCCGTGAGGCTGCAGGGACCAGCCGGAAGGAGAAGTGGCTACACACCCATGGAAATGCCACCAAAGTGACACAAGAGACTGTGCTGTGCAGAATAAGAATGGCTTTCAGGAAGCAGCTCAGCAAGGGCTAGATAATTAAGCAATAAAACACAATCAGGCATGAGAAAAGACAACTTATTTCCTGACAGTTTAATTCCTGGACTGAGGCAGGGGGGGATTCTCAATTTGGTGATGAAAAATGAAATATGAGTAATAGCCAGTGCCACTTAGCCGTGAGGAACTGCTGCTCGTGATTTATAGCTTAGCATTAAGGATATTGCCCTGTTAAGGTTTTCTTATCTATTTAATACGTGTTCAGAGCAGGCTGAAGAACAGAATTTCTGTTTTGATTTTCCCCATAATGGGACTATCCAAAAATAATTAGCCAAGCTCTGGGTCCATTACACAGCCTTCACCTTTGCACACCCTGTGGGTTTTATGCTCTTCCAGGCTGTGCCAGACTAGATAAGACATAATGTGCAGCTTTCTGCTGAGCTGCTGGGTGCTGGGGCAGAGAGTTTGGAGCCTCAAGCACGTCAGTGGCCTCTCCATATTAGAATTCCATTATTAATTAGGTATTTTATATGTGATGAGGCTCGTGGGATTTACACCACGTACCTGTGCTGCTCGCCCCGCAGAACGTCGGCGGCGGCACGGCGGTGGCCCAGGTGCGTGCCACCGACCGCGACATCGGCCTCAACAGCGTCCTCTCCTACTACATCACCCGAGGGAACGAGGACCTGACCTTCCGCATGGACCGTGTCACCGGCGAGATCGCCACCCGGCCCTCCCCGCCGGACCGCGAGCGCCAGAGCTTCTACAGCCTCGTGGTCACCGTGGAGGACGAGGGCAACCCCTCCCTGTCGGTGAGCCACCAAAGTGGGCCCTTCGGGGGCAGGACAGGGGTAGGCAGCGCTGTGGGCATTGAGCCAGCATGAGAGGGGAGGAAAAGGAACAGGGTGTGACGTTTTGGTGGCTCGGGGTCCAGACCTGCTGCTCACAGATTTGGTTCAGAGTCTCCTTCGATGCCTGGTCTTGCAGGGCCCTCCCTCACGGTCATTCAGCAGGCTTTATCTCCCATCTCCAAATGCAAAAAAGTATGAGCATCCCTAAGGGAAGTGTGCTGCTGCTGCTGCTGCTGCCACAGCAGGCTCTCAGGGGTCTGGGAGGGCTCCAGATGTTGCCCACCCATCTCAGCACTGGGAGTGGCTGGAGCAGCAGCTCCACTGCAGTTCTGCTCACCACTGGTGTCCACTGTGGTCCTTGTCAATGAGAAGAGCTCTGGTGATTTTGGCAAGGGCCTGGAGTGCCAGGACAAGGGGCCATGGCTTCAAAGTGAAAGGGGGCTGATACGAGACGCCACGGTCTGGGGAAGTGACTCTCTGGCCACTTGGTTCGTTGTTTGTCCCTCTGAGGGTGACTCTGGCGCGGGAGAGTCACCCTCAGAGCAAATACCACGTGGGGCATTTTCCAGCTCTGAGTCCCTTCTCTGTCGGCGTCTCTGCAGAGCGGTGAGCAAGCACCCGCGTGCACAGGCGGTGAGATGGGCTCACCTCGTGTGACACTGCCATGCTTCCTGTCCCCCAGCTCCACCTGCTATCTCTCACCATCTCTCTGCTCTGCCAACAGAGCTCTGCCTGCAAAGCCCTGCTCTACATTTTGATGAAACAGGTCACAGCCAGCAGTGCAAACTGTGGCTGTGATTCTCACTTCGGCCTTTGCACTCTCAGCTCCTCCCTCCTGGCTGGTTCACGCTCCAGCTTCTGCATCACCACCTTTTGCATTAGTTGTGTTGTCACTGAGGCTTAAACCTAGGTTAGCCTCTTCCCCCAAAACGAGAGAAGGCAGCACACGATGCCACCAGCTCCTCCTTGTCCCCGTCACTGTGGGAGCATCGCTGATGCTGGCGTGCTGAGGAATGCCATGTGCTGAGCTGGCAAATCCCGTTGCCATGGCAGTGGCCTCTTCCCTTCCCGGTGCCAGCGAGGACAAGCGGCACAGCCTATCGCTTCCCGCTGTCCCAGCAGCCCTGCCTGTCCCCAGAGGCTCTGCTGTGTGCCCACCATGTCACCAGCACACGTTCTGCCAGCAGCCACAACCCAAATCCCAGAGGCACAAAGTGCCCAGTGACCCAATTCCTGAGCGGAGAGAGGAGTTTTGGCCCTTTGCAGAGCTTGAGGACACCCAGGTCTTGTGAAAGGCTGTCTGGCGTGTTGCTGGGTGCCCGCTGGCCTCATGCCTGGGTGGGGAAATGATGTCTGTCAGGGGCCTGCTGCCTGCCAGGAACTCCTCTTTCACAAGGAGCTCCAGGCTGATGCAACAATGCACAAAAGGGGAGGATTGTTCGCAATTTGTACATCTATCCATGGGTTTTGAGGTTTGGCCTTCTCTGCCTGGGAGAGGCAGAGGAGACAGAGCTGAGAGAGGACGGGGAAGCCCTCACTTGGAAGTGGTGATCTGGGATACCCAGGGCAGCACGGGAGCAGGGAAGACTGGCCAAGAGGAATCTCTTGGGAGCTGGAAATGTGGGAACAGAAGGATGAAATGCTGCTGATAAAAGAAAAATATTTTCGTAAAAAAAGCTTTCCAGGGGAAAAAAAAGACTTCACAAGCTGGTGAGCTGCAACTGGAAGGTGTGTGGGAATCGCAGGAGCAAGGCAGGGTGGATCCTCACTGCCCAAATGTTAATCTTGGGGTGGGTCACCTTCACCAGGAGCATGTGTCATCTTCTCCATGGCAATGGGGACCAAGGTGGGGGCCCAGCACCCCTGTGCCAGGTCTCTTGCTCCAGAATGTGTGGAAGCCTGGGAAGCCATTTCTTCTCTCTCCTAGAAGTCTTTAGTTTTCCTTCTGGAGGGAAAACCGACACCACCAGTGTCCCAACATGCCACACCAGAGCCTCTGGCAGAGAGCTTAGCTCTGCCTGCAGCACCGGGTACCCCCAAAAATGGGGTTCCTGCCACACAGTGCAAAACCTGTTTCCAACAAAGCTTCATTCTGTTATCCAACAGTGCCTTCGTTAGGGAACAGTGCGGCTTGGAGAGGGTTTCAAAGCCGTTAAGACCTGCAGGCAGGCAAAACCCTGGCGTGCCTTTCCAGCTGGAGCTGCTGGGACATGGAGGAGGAAGTGCTGGAGGCACCAGGTGCTGGATTCCCCAGCAAAGCCGGGAAGGGGCTGAGCCGTGGGTGACAATAAAGCACGAGTCCTGTTCTCAGGAAGTTCCATCCATGGTACACGGGGCGGGGCTGGCTTCTCCTTCACCCCTGAACCACCTCGAGGGTGCTCCTGCTGAAGCCAACACTGGATTAATCAAATCCTGAAGCAGCCTGGGGCGTCCCCAGCCCATTCCAGAGGCAAATGCTGTTCCCCCCAGCCATGTAGTGTGGAAATTCACGTGCTGCCAGGGATGCTCCGCCTGGCCACACTGCCTGGTTGCTCAGGTCTGACTCTATTTTGCTATGACTAATGTTTATGTTTGTCTCGTGGCCCATTTTTTTACCCACCCTACAACAGAAAGAGAAACAAGAGTAAAAAAAAACAAAAACAGCAACAACAAATGAACACACTCTGAGTAACAGCATCTGCCACAAGGTCTGATATCATCACCGGGGCTGAGTCACACAGGAGCCGTAGTTTCTTTTGGATAAGCAATGCCAGAGGCTGGGTCCAGATGCTGCAAGAGCACCACTCAGGGCATCAGAGTCCTCTCACAGTGGCCCCAGGAGGGCAGGGGGAAGCCATCCCTGGCATTTCCCACTGTGTCCCCCCATGCCTCCACCTCTCCACGGGGGCGCTCGGCCACCTCACGGGAACATCCTCCAACACCCTCCAGATGAACTTCCTAATTGACAAGCATTTAAAAAACAAAAAAAAAAAAACAACCAAATGAAAACCATAAACATCCTTTTTTCCCTTTTAATCAGCACTGATAATGAAACAAACAGAAAGATAAATTGCCCTGATCCCAAGCCAAGGATAAAACTGCAGCAGAAATAAGGCTCTTCCCAACATGTGTCCTGCTGAAAAGGCAGCAGCAGCGCAAGTCCACGGCCATTTCAAAAGGCTGGTAAGGAAAGAGGGCTCTGGTGGCAGCAGGACGCCTCTCCCCTTCCTGTTTTGCAAAGAAAAAGGTAGTACAAGGTTGGCTGGTGATCCTGTTTTGTTCCATGCTGAATAAAGTATTTTACCATCCACTCCCAGAGAGGATGTTCAGTCAAGGATCCAGAGGCGTGTTGATGTTGCAGAGCTTAGACCCTGGCAATAAGTTAATCCTCAGGGAAGCCTGCAGATGCAGGACATCCTTCCATCCCCACATCCTCAATTTCCAGCTAGTCTGTAAAATGTGAGCAGTACAGAGCCACGCACTTCTCCATGGAAACAGGTAGTTAAAGATCGAAATCGGAGCAAGAGAGGTTCACTTCCAGTCCCAGAGCAGTGCTAGGATGGGAGACAAGGGCAGGGATCCTGCACACAGCTTCATTTCTTACAGCATTGCTGGCCCTGGCCCTGCCACACTCACGGGGCTGTTGTCTTGGTGAGCCTGGCGTGGTCTTTGGGATGTGGCTTCCTCTGGGGTCTTTAGGCTTTCAAGGAATTTGGTGAGTCGGGAACAGGATCTGGAAAAGGGCAGACCAGGGAATATTAATCCAGCTTGCAGCTGAAGGGATATTATTCCAGGAAGTGGCTGAACTCTGTTTTTGCATGGAAAACAGAGGGTTTAGGTCCTTGCCATCTTTTAAGCTGTGGGATTTGATGTCCCACACCACACCAGGTTTGCTGCTGATATTTAGCCCCACCCC